CTGGGACTGCCAATATCCGAATGACATAGACAAACAATGTTTTTGCATAGCGTACGCGACATTAGAATACTATCAGAAGCAAATCAAAAAATTACCGTTATTCGAGCTCTAACTTCTCCTTTTTCTCATTTTTATAGTTAGTTGTTATTGCAAATTTGATTTTAAAATGTAATTGTAATGTTTCAAATCTCTTAATTTGGTTAATAGGAAAGAGAAAATAGTTCATTTCGTTAGAGAAAACTGAGTCGAAGAGACATTCATTTACTCTTCCATTTTTGAGTTTTAAAATTCCAATAAGCTGAAATACTTCTATAATATAAAAATTCGAGTATTTTTCTCTTATTAATGCGTCTTTAAACCCCTTTTCAGTTGTTTTTATTTTTTTCAGTCCTGGTTGACATTTTCATGGAAACACCCATATGTAAATTTGTAAATAAATAATTGCAAATAGGTAGATATTACATCTTAAGCGTAAAATTCTAAATATTTTCCTTAGTTAATTTACAGCGTCACTTATTTAAGTAAAGATCACGAAATTTCAATGCACCGGCGCTATCGAAACTATCGACTATTGCCCAAAAACAATCGATGTTTTTCCAAAAATAAAACTATCGATACTATCGATAGTACAATCGTCGATAGTTTTGCAGCTCTAATCTGCAGGCTGCGTCGGAGCCACAGCCGCTAAACTTAAACATAGAATACGTTAGATTACATATTTAAACATATACACATGTAATACTTCTATATTGGCAGTAAGCTATCTTCTCAATGTGTAAAAATTTCGAAATCAAAACGAGACAGTCTAATACCGTTTTCGTGTATGTATTGTGTGTGTGTATATAAATATATTTATAAACATACGTGGACGAGTATGTGTACGTGTTTATTTATATATCTTTACTGCAATGTTTTCGGACGGTACAAGCTCTTACTGCCAACGAAGGAGTATTACATACATGGATTTAAAGGTTTGGGAACTACGCATTTCGTTAAAATTAAAAAAAAAAATATTTAAAAAACCACGGAGACCTGGACAAAGTTTTTGGGGCTGAGCTTATGGCATAAACTATCCCAAATGTATGTATGTTCAACCGTCTTCCAAAAACCCTTTCTGAAAAGTTCTTTCTAAATTGCGATTTGCGGTGATTTTAGCACCTTTGATCGGTTAGAACTTTGTAATAAGAAGGCCTGGCGAAATTTTATGAAAATGCTGTTTTGTGTTTGTGACGGCACGGAGAAGAGTGCAACGTCTCGATAAAAAAAAATCTAAAAATATTCGTGCAATTCACTTACCTCAACAAAAGCTTCGAATCTGAAGGCCTCACCTGCTTTTAAGAGCCTTTGTATTGTTTTGTCGAGGTGCCGTTTTGTGACGTTTATAACATATTCATTTGAATCATATAGGTTCGATTCCATGTTAAGCTGGGCTACCTTTATCCATTCATATTTTAAATGAGTTTGATCGCACCGCCAAATAATTACAATTTGATAGACTTGATTTGTTTCAGCTCCTTTGGAGATCGCGTTAATGAAATCAATTTGTTTATTCTGTAAAAAAGGAAGTATGTGAACTATTTTTATCACTTAGTATAAAGCTGTAACTACTTGTATATACAGAGTTACGTGAAAAGTCGTGCCATGCAATTAAGGACATTAATATCTAGGTAATTTTGATTAACTTAACTTACGACATAAGGTCCAAAACAGAACCGTTTTCGCGATATTCAATTTCAAAGATTATTTTAAAACAATATTTTGTTTGCTGGCATGAATACTTTTAGTTCAAAGGTCCATTTTTTCTGTTTTTAGTTAAAGGATATGCCAATTAATAAAAATCATTAATAAAACTTGAACCAAGCGCTGACAACTTAAGGGCGTGCCTGTGTGTTTTGAAGCATTCGCGCTTAATATTTTCGAAGTGCTTAGTAGTATAGGGTGGGCCTACCAATTACCTTGTTTATACGGGATCAAACGCGGTATCGAATTAACTAGTGTCAGTGTAGCTTGCTTGAAATACAAGTGTTTATACGCAACAAAAGAAATGAGTCGATCGAACACGATTTCAAACAGATTTCAATCCGATGCAACCATGTTAATACATGTGTCAATTCTTCAAAATAATAAACATGGGAAAATAACAATTAACGACTCAAACAGTCATGAAAAAAGGTTATTTGCTATTAATTTTATAACAAAGCTTGGCCTAAATGTAATTTCAAGAACTATTTAAATGTTTTACTTTATACAGAGTTGCATGAAACAACCGTGGACAAATCCCGTGTTTATATGCACGCTTAACACGATTTCAACAACTCTTAACTCGCATTCAAAATGCGATTTATGGTGGCACGGTTAAAAGTTTCAATTCGATTCAAGAATGTGTTTACATGTGTGTGTCCAAATAACATGGTTTGACTTAGAACGAATTGTAACATCATATAAACAAGGAAAATGTTAAACATGTATAGCTTCTTTATTATTTAATATTATTGTTATTTTCTTTCTGCATGTTATAGTTAATTTCTTTGAAAATCATAAGGGATACTTCCAGCAAGGCCGCCAACAACGACTACAATGCACTATTCGTTTTACACAATTAGCCGAACAAATTGATTTTTTGGGTAATGTTTTGATGTCGGATGAAGCGCATTTCCAAGCAAAACTGTAGATTGTGGGGCTCTGAAAATCCAGGGGCAACACTCCAGCATCAGTTGCACCCATCCAGATGCACTGTTTGGTGCAGTGTTATGGACGAAAAAGTTATCGGCCCATATTTCTTCGAGAATGAGTATTAAACGCAAGAAAAGATTTCTGGGGCTTCTTACAGCTTTTTGCGGCCAACAGCAGATCAGCATCATAATTTGTGGTTCCAAAAAGATGGAGCGACTGCGCACACTGCTAGGCAAACTATGGACCTGCTGCGTGAAATTGGTAGGTCTTATTTGGCCCACCCTATACATATCGATTTTTTGGCCAGTAGCTTGATTTTCATGTAAAAGAATACACTTTAATAAACCAAATGACACAAATATACCAAAAAGCTGTTTTTTTTTATTCTTTCCCTGAAAGCTTACTTCCTTCACAAAGTTAAATGCAAATATGTTGGATAAATTACCTAATGTAGAAAAACGGTATACAGGTCCGTAGTCTACGACCCAAAATTAAATTCCCGTGTTTCGACGTATTTTTCATATTTTTTTCAAAACTTGAGATTTTCCCTGCAGTGTAATTAAAGGTTTTGTAATGAAGCAGTTTTCTCCCACTTACATGAGAAATCCTTTGCTGATGAAGAATGTTGATCACTCTACAGTTTCTAGTTATATTAGTAGTAAAACCTAAACTTCTTCATACAAAAAATTTGTTGGCATCAAATCAATCTCAATTATTTTATAATTTATCTATTTGATATATTTATTTGCAGAATATCATTCCGGAGCCAGCGCGGTGAGTTTTAAGCACTTTCCATGCCCATGTGCAGCGCCAACAGTTGCCAAACATGGGCTTTTCTTACCAAAACTGGTAGGTTTTTTCCCATTTGGTTGGTTGGTAGGCTAGATTGGATTTTGGTAGGTTCGCGAAAAATATTATATATGTATGAATCCGGGTCGTTGCGAATACTATTCTGAAATAAAAGTCCTTTTCGGATAATAAGCAAACCGCCTATCCAAATTAAACAAATTTGGTGTCATATGGAAGAGGACTGAAATATCTTTAAAACAGAACATTAACATTTTTTATTGAAATATTTTTCAATGTGTGTCTTTCCCCGTTTAGACATTTCAGTTTTAAAGCTATTTAAGTCCTCTTTCATTTGATACCAAACTGGTTTAATTTGGATAAGCGGTTTGTTTATTATCCGGAGAGGACTTTTTTTCGGAATAATATACGCAACAACCCTGGTATGTATCTCCAAACATTTTAGCAACCTAGTTTACCCGAATATTTCAGGGGTGCCTTCGTATAACGGCGACCGTAAAGATTTTAATAAACAATACCCGACTAGCAGGTACAAACTTATACCCTTATTTTTGACAATATATGAACAATATGAACATCCAAGGTATCAAGGGCGCACACAGGAATGGGAGGGGTTTATACTTCTGAAAATTCACTTCAGATAATATGCTCTTTAAAATATATTTATGAAGTTTTATGTACAGGATGTAATAAATAAATAATGTTTTTAAAGTTCCATAAATTACACTTCGTTTACATCATATTAACAAAGAACTCGAACGTTTTTAACCGACTTCAAAAAAGGGGGAGGTCTTCAATTCGTCGGAATATTTTTTTTTTGGACCACTTGAACCGATTTCAACAATTCTTTTTTATTGGAAAGATGGTACTTCAAGGGTCGTACCGTAATGTAGTTTAGATCAGATCATTGGATCATGAAACAAATTTACGATATTTCTAAATTTGCATATGAGAATTGAAGTCGGTTGTGTTTTTTGCTTGCAAATTACTTGTTTAATAAAAAGTTATATAAACAAAAGATGCGCTCAACTACCAAGAGTAATAGATGTAATAAAAGAAAATGAACGTTATTCTTCGATTTCTGGTTTTTGTAGTGGAATTCTGACAACCGCTACGCTAAGTTCTCGTCGCCAAAATTCTCTAAATGAAAAGCAGTGGGCCTAAAAGTATACTGAATGGAAAAGTAACAACCGTAATGTGTAATCAGCCAAATCTGGCAGTATCAGGGACATGTATCTAGATCAGTGCCCGCCAAACACTTTCCTGGGAAACGAACTATATTCGGCCTTTCACATGTACGCAATCGGCTTCTTACACGTACACAATCCGAACGTCAACAGAAAAAGTAGCAGAGCAACAAATTTTATTTAGTTGCATGCAAACAATAGGCGAAGCAGGTTGATGACGCATTTCCGTGCATTACCACCAACACATTCTCATTTTTTATTTCATAACTAATACATTCTCATTTTAAGACTTCTCTTTTTGGCGGACACTGATCTAGATCAGTGGTGCACACGTGAGTCTCCGGGAGCTACTTGGCTTTCACACACAAGTCGTGTGTGCGCAGCTAACGAACTGTTGCGACGCTAGCGGCGAATTAGTTTGCGTTTGCTAGTGTGCGCATCAGTGTTGCCGCGAATAATTTTTAGTGGTAGCCAAATTCCTTTAAAAACAGGGCTAAAAAAGAGCTAAAAAAAGTCGTTGTGGCTAAAAATGGTAGCTAAAATTTTTTACTTACATCTACATATATAAGTATACACGCAAACATTTTCAATAAGTAACAGGCTAACCTAATATTCACGCACGCCGCCAATTTATTGTCAAAAATTTCTCATGCACATGCAACTTGTATGAGATCAACCGAAATTGAACGGCGTGTGTATGAAGCTAACTCAATTTCCAATTTTTGTTCTGCGTGACATTTTGATTTGACGTTTCGCTCAATGAAATCAAATGCAAACGCATGCAAGTCAATTTCGGGTGACGCAAAAAAAACAAATTCGACGGCATGCGTACCATAACGCAAGCCGCGAATATTAGGTTAGCCTGTAATGGTATAGAAAAACAATGAGCTCAGGAAAAAATACGACGACAAAATACTAGTTTTCGAAGAAAATTCTTCGGAAAATAACAAATTAATCAGCTGTTACATACAACTAGCAGCTTCTTGCTGGTTTTGCGTTTTCGTACTATCTGGCATATTTCATTCATTGGGAGTAAATATTGACTTACTCTCCGAAATTTTGTTACTGTTAAGTTACTGGATATTTCTTGCTGGAGAATACGAAAACACAACTATACTTGTTGTATATAAATTGAGCTAATTTCACCACTCACGACATGTCGTCGCGACACCAGCATGCTGGTACAATCATAAAATTCTCAAATAGTTAGTAGCAACAGCAGCAGGTACAGTCACACCACAAGAACACACACGGCCATCGACTTGATGGGCCATTTAACAAATAAAGCATATTAAGGGCCGTAAACTTATCTATTCTAAACTATAGTTAAATCGTTAATATATAAGTTAACAGCCCTAATACTTTTACAGTATGTATTAGGGATGTTGCGAATGTGGGATTTTAGACATCCGCGGATGCGAATGCGGATGTCAAATATTTTTAAGAAATGATTTTGGTTAGTACATTAGGTGATTTAGATAAATAAATAATGGAAAAGTTGCATAATTCCTTTTTGAAGATTGCATCGGGGCTGCAAATGTCGGATGTACTTCCTGACTTTGTTTAAACACCGTTGTGTTCCAATTTGGAGAAATAATTCTTTTGGTTGTTTCAGAATTTGGAGAACCTGTTACGTCATCAGCATTTTTCGATTTGAGTTTTTGTAATTCATTTTTAATCCTGTCTTCTGTGACTGGTTTGAAAAATGTGCGCTTATAGCGAGGTTGTGAATAAGTGGATATGACAAATAAATTATTATTTTCTAGGAATGAAAATTTCGAAGAAAATTCTTCTTGGAAAGGTTCGCCTGTAATGAAGAAGCTTGTAATTAGATTTTCCTAGTTGCATGCAGTCACAATTAATTACTCACCGCTGTCGGTACCA